ATATAGATATATAGATATATAGATATAGATATATAGATATATAGATATATAGATATATAGATATATAGATATATAGATATATAGATATATAGATATATAGATATATAGATATATAGATATATAGAGATATAGATATATAGATATATAGATATATAGAGATATAGAGATATAGATATATAGAGATATAGAGATATAGATATATAGATATATAGATATATATATATATATATATATATATATATTTATTTATTTATTTATTTATTTAAAAATATTTTAAAACGGTAACCCTTCAGGGCTCAAATATACACCTGCTTTTCAAGGGGCCGTTTACATGCATCACGTGATGTGATGCAGCAGATTAACTAAAGCTCTTTTTCATAAAGTTTGTTTCCGGCTTTTCAAGTGTATAGTTGTTATCATTACTTCGCAAGTTATACCTATCATTATTTGCAATTTTGAACATGTTTGTTAAAGACGATGGCAGTGCGTCATTTCTTAGTTTATGCAAGAAGCTCGTCTTATTGTTTTTGTATCGATTTTTAAGGGGTTGCCAGTTTAACTCTTTTAAAACGTCCTCAGAACTTACATCGTATGTGCTACCAGTGATAATTTGCGCTGCTCTATTTTGCAATTTTTGAAGTTTATCAATTAGATATTCACAACAGTTGCCCCATACCAAGCTACAATAATCAAAGTGTGACAACACAATGGCATTGTAGATTTTCAATAATGTTGATTTGGGAACAAACTGTTTCATTCTTCGCATCATCCCTATTCCTTTTGAAACATTCGTTACAGTATTTTGAATTTGGTCGACCCATGAAAGACGCTCGTCAATAATGACTCCTAAAGTTTTTGATTTATGAACACGTTTAATTTCTGACTCACCGAGTTCAATTTTAGGATCCCCTATTTTATTTGATATACGTTGTCGTGAGCCGATAATCATATATTCAGTTTTTTGTTTGTTGAGTGTAAGTTTGTTTGCAAGTAGCCATTGATGCACATTTTCTAAGTCTGCGTTCAAGCGTTCTTGTATTTCATTGCCAGTATCACCGTGAGTTGAAATGTTTGTGTCATCAGCAAACATGCTTGCTGAAGACACACTCATTTAGGTAATTTATATAAAGCAAGAACAGCAGTGGGCCTAGGTTTGAACCTTGAGGTATGCCACATTTAACAGTCCTTGCCTCAGACATTGCTTGGTGGACCTTGCAGATTTGAGTCCTATTTGTAAGATAAGATCGAAACCATGCAAGTGTATGTCCTCTTATTCCATAGATATGCATTTTCTTAGTTAATATATGGTGGTCAACACAGTCAAACGCTTTTTTGAGATCCAGAAAAATAACACCGTTCAAACAACCCTTGTCCATATTAATTAACCATTGGTTTGTAATGTTAAGTAGGGAGGTTTGTGTGGAATTATTTTTTCTGAATCCTGCTTGCTGTTCCGTAAGTATGCCGTTAGATTCCATATACGTTTCAAGCTGTTCGGTAATTAATTTCTCAAATATTTTAGAAACTGATGATAGAACAGAGATTGGGTGATAATTATCGCGATTTGTTTTACTTCCAGATTTATGAATGGGTGAAATGATTACAGTTTTAAAGTCATCAGGAAATACACCCGCATGTATAGATGCATTAAATATGGCTGTTAATGTGGGTGCTATAACTTCAGCCGCATCTTTCAGAAGTTTGCCGGATATTCTATCATGGCCTGCTGACTTGGATGTTTTTATCGTCGAAAGCAACTTAAGAGTGAATGTCAGTAAAAATCGAACATA